TTCTGAACATAATGGACAACCCATAAAAATGAGACAACCAATAATTATGTGCTTATGAAGCATTCTTGCCAAACAAATGAATTTGAATGTATTTATGCTTCTTTAGCTGAATACCAGTTTATGGGTAATATGAAGAATAGAAAGCCAATTAATGACACAACAATGCAGGATATTGTACAGAACCAATGACTCACTTTCCTTAGCAAATCAATGGCATAAATGGAGGTGGGGAGCTTAGGGATCTATTATACAGTAGGAGAAAACAGACTTAAGAGCCATAATCATTAATTTCCATGTATCAGGGATATGAACTTTGTTGGGATCCATATACAAACCAAAACAATGAAAAAGTATGCTTGAGACAATCAGAAAAAATTCTCCACAGACTTGAGTATTACATGACATTGGAAATTATTGTCACCTTCTGAGGGGGAATATAGTCAGTACTATTGTAATAAGTTTGCATGGTGACAGATAATTGCTAGAGTTAGTATGGCAATCACACTGTAAGCTATGTAAGTACCAAATCACTATACTGTACACCTGAAGCTAATATAATGTATACCAATTATACTTAAAAAATACATTTCTAAAATAGAAAAAAGGAATTACTGTCACCTTTGTTATATATCATGATGGCATAGTAGTTACGTTTTAAAAAGAGTCCTTATCATTATAGATGAATAATAAAGTACTTGCAGGTGAAATCACATTTGTGTGGTTTTTTCCTTATAAAAAATGTCAGAAAAAAATGTAAGAAGACAGAGGAGCAAAAGTGACAAAATTTGGATAATTTTTGAAGATGGATGATGAATTGATGGGAGTTATTCTAATTTTGTATATGTATAAAATTTTCATAATAAATTTTTTAAGTTGCTTTATTTAAATTTTAATAGTTTTTCTTGCATTTGGCCTTAATTTTTCTCAAGTGCATCAGTACAGTGGTTAATATCAATTAATAAATTAGTATTGTTTTGAAATCCTCAAACAGAATAGGTAATCCATCAATGTCATTTTTTCTGGTCTCCTTCTCTGAGTCCCCTTCCTTTTCTTCCATCTGGATCAGCAGCATGTTGGACTTTCTGCACAGTATTTGGCCTGGACTGTCCTTCTCTGTGATCCTGCACTGCCCATATCTATTTTCCTACATTGGATTCACTGTCTCCCTCTTTGTCAATAGATTCCCTCATTTTACTAGAGAACATGCTCTAGTAGCTTCCTAAGAAAATATAAGTGTGAAGTAAATTTTTCAGTCCTTCAATGTCTTCTTTCTCTCTCACATTGGATTTGGCTTGATACTTTTCCTCTCAGAATTTTGGGAGCATTTCTCCATTACCTGTACAGGCGTTAAGGAGTTCAAGGTTATCTCGATTTTCATTTTCTCCCTTTTTGAAAGATATTAGAATCTTCTCTTTATTCCTGTTGTTTAGAAAATGTCTCGGCAGATGCAATAAGGTTCATCCTTTTCTATTTATTGTGCTGGGCCCTTGTGTCTCACAGGTCTGGGAAATTTTTCTGGTTATAATCTGGTTATAAATTTTCTGGTTATAAATTTGTTATAATCTTACATTTTTCTGGGACCTTTTTCTGTGACTCTTATCCATAGGATATTAGGTTTATTAATCACAATTTAAGAAATTTATTTGGAGAAATTCTATGTGGAAGGAAACAGGAAGAAAATTGGGGAATGTTAGGGGAGATGTCAGACAAGAGTGCTACCCTGACCCCAGTGTAGAAGAGAGCGAGGAACAGTTGGGCAGAAGTGTCCTGGACTCTCCTTAAACCTACTGTTGTGGAGAAAGCCTGCAGGGAATCCTTGAGTCAAAGTCAGCTGACAAAGGAGTCCCCTGTCTTTTAGGAATGAATTGGCCTTATTATTTTTGTTGCACTCATTCATTGGTGGTAATCTAAACCCAGGCACGGATGTAACACAAGCACAGTGATGGATCTCAAAGTGATGCACCTGGGGCCATGGTCAATCAACGGCCTTCCCTGCTGGTCAGAGGGGCCAACATCATTGCCACTACTGTAATTACATTTTATAATCATGTGATGTTGAATGCACTTGCCTGTGTGCTGTGCCTGGGACAGTGTCATGGACATTATAAGCACTCCAAAATCATTAACTGTATTTACTGAGTGTCAAGAAGAAGCCTGCAAGGGTGGGAGGTTAGCCAGAGGAATTGTCATAAACTTTATACTCTAAACTTCAGAACCTATTTACTTTTACTTCATGCACTATCCAAATAATTTTGGTCAAATGAGTACAAGCCAAACCCAGGTTAGAAATGGCAGAGTAAAAAGAGGTTAGAAGCTTATTAGTACTGTGACCATCAGAAACTTGGGAAGTGTGCATCTGACAGCAGGAAAAAAAGAGAGAGAAACAATAAACATAAAACACAACAAAAGCATATACTTTTAGAATTTTTAACATTAGGAAACTTAGCCCCAGCAACTTCAGTAGGCGTGGGTGCTTCATGGTACCATAAATGTAACAGCCAATGTTCATAATAATAAGCGCCATCAAGAAAATATTTCACCACAACTTTGAGTAGGCAGGAAAGCATAAAATGCATTTTAGAATGATTTCTGTTAGAAAGAGTAAATCCTCTAGGATTCTGGACAGCTGACAGTTTTACCGATCTAATTAAGTATATGGCTTTTTTGTTTTCCTGTGCATAATTGCATATTATTTTAACAATCACTTGCTAGTGAGCAATCATTAGCCTTCTCATTTTATGACCTGATTTTTATGTTGCAATACCCATACCTTTCACGGCATTTGTTTGTCATCACTGCCTAGGTGCACTTGCTTCCTGAGCAAACAAACATCAAATCTCTCTGATAAATCATGAACACCAGCAGAGCTGCCAAGTCACTTAAGTTAAGCTCCTGAGAAGGGTTTGGCCACTGCATAACTGTCACTGAGAGGATTCTCACTCCAATGGCACATGCCCCATTGTTTGGACGTCACTTGGCCCTGCTTCCCAGACAGCCGGCTTCTTTTTGACAGCACTTCCTCGTGTTTTCCCCGCACTGCTTTCCATGTGTTCCCGCTTACACACAGGAACCACCGAGTTGTTGGTGCTTTCACAAATGTTGGGGTAACAACAAAATCGCTATTTTGGAATATGACATCGACTCCTTTGGAGATAATTCAAGAACTTGATGGCAGCTCATCTAACCTCTCAAGATACTGTCAGAGCCTGAGAAACTGTTGTCTAGGACAACAGTCTTCCACTGTGAAACTGGGCTACTTACAGCAGGCACAGTGGGGCAGCAGCAGCCACACAGAGTGAAACAGAGAATGACAGAGAGAGAGACAGTGAGAGAAAGAGAACGCCATGAGAGATACTCACATAAGTAAAGACAAGGAGAGCAACATACAACATGCACATACATATCTTGTCCTGGTCAGTTCTGGCTGCTGTAACAAAAATACTGTAGACTGGGTAGTTTAAACACTTGTTTATTAGGCTGAGAAGGCATAGGTAGATTCCCGTCTGGGGAGGGCCCACTGCTTGGTTCACAGATAACTGGCAATCCACTGTGTCTTCACATGGGGAAGGGGTCAAAAAATTCTCTGGGAGTTCTCCCTGTAAAAGCACTAATTCCATTCATGAGGGCTTTGCCTTCATGACCTAATCACCTCCTAAAGACCCCACCTCCAAATACAATCACATTGGGGTTTAGATTTGAATATTAGAATTCTGTGTGACACTTTTAGTCTGTAGCATGTCCAGAGATAATTCAGAATTAAGAACAGAAGCAGAATCTTTCTCATTTTCTCACTGATATCTAAGTTCCATAGGGCTTGGGCTCTGTTTGCTTGCAACTACACTAAGTAAAACTTATGACAAAAACACAGAAATGCTACACAGGCAGTGCTTAATTCATGTTTGATGACAAAGAACAAAAAACAATAATGTCCTGAAATTTGTTCCTCACGTTGCTACAAGGATTAAAATAGCCAGTAATTTTCCACAGGTTTAATTTTCCCCAGTTCTTAGCTATTAACTCCTTTTAAATCATCTGCTTTCTGGCTTTGGAAAAGAACTCAAAGGACTGTGCTATATTCTGTACATCCTAACGGACAACAGTTGTTTTAATTATATTAAATGCATTGTCCCTTCTTTCTCCTCTATTATCATGCATGGCTTTCTCATGTCATCTGTTTTTCTGTGAGTCCTATTCCCCCCTTCCCTTTTATCCTGGATGGCATCAGCACATTTTGAAATATACAGATCTACTGGTAAAATAACTGAAATGCACAAGGAAATGCAGGCTGGAAGAACTTTAGTCTGGAATTTCAGATTACTTTCTTTGTCTTATCTTTTCTGTTTCATATTTTCTTTTGTCATCTTCATATTTTTTCAAGACATAGAATTAAATGTTCTGCAACTCCTCAGGAATGAGTAAATTTAGGACAATAGTTCAATGACATTATTAGAAACTAAAATTTATCTGAATTTAAAATTATAGGTTTCGTTTTTCCCTCAAACTAAATTCATCAGATATGAAACAAGAAGTATTATGAAGCATTCCAACTTTTGATTTGAGCACAAACAACATGTTGGCTAACTTCTACTGATTTTATCTGCCAATCTAGGTGTAATCACACTTTAAAAAGCACATTTATGTAATTTGCTTTTCCATAAAATGTCACCATTGCATTAAATACTTTGAAAACAGTCTTTGTAAATCAATCTGCACTTACTAGATTTGTTTAAACGATAGCATTAGAATTCCATGCCGAGATTTGATTTGGTTTTAAAATAACTCCCTACATGCAGATCGTTTCCAAGGGTGGAAAGGCTGGTTCCCAATTATTTTCATGCCATCAGTGCTAAATGTGTTTAATAACTCACTTCCCTATAAGCTGGGGGTCCTCTGAAGACCTCGCCATTCAGTAGGATGCACATATTTTACCTCAGCCTATTTTACATTTTGAAAAAGGCAAACTGGAGAACCATATCCAAAAGAAAAGGAAAAGTTCTTACCTTATTCATGTCAAAGGTATTATAGACTTGATCAACATGTTGGTTGGCCTTTTGAGTTAGACCTTGCAGACCCAAGAGTGTCTTAAATTCATGCAGTGTTTGCAGACCGGATGGATATTCCATCATAAATTTTCTGTACCACACATAGATCTCTGTAGCTGGAATTGCTGCCAGGCCATTAGCTATAGATTTACTATTGCCCATTGGGACCCAGTCAACAGCTTTTCCTCAGGTTGTTTTCAGGTAGGGTCTAACTGTGTTTAGTCCCTCACTCTTCACTAAAACTTGAGGCTAACATATGCCCTTAGGAAGCTACTCTAAACCTCTTACAGCTAGAGACTAAATAAGAATAGAAAGCCAGTGAGATTAACTCATCTGTAGTTTTAAGACTAGGTCATTCACTGCTTCCTGATGGGATTGTGGTAACTGGCTATTTAGAGATGCAGTTTCTTGTGAAGGACAGAGGCAATAATTTAGAGTGTAATCCTTGCTGTACTGTTAGCCATAAATTCTGACCACACTACAGAGTGGCACAATGGAGTCCTATGGAAGAACTTGGAGTTGCAGTCAGGAAGCCTGGGTTCTAAGCTTCACCTGCCACTTATTAACTACACGGAAACATTACTTATGTTCTCCAGTCTGTTTCCCCATCCATAAAACAGTAGCAAGAGTATTTGCCTTTTCACACCTAAATACTGGGAAGATAAATTGAGATGTAAAACATTTTTTAAAACCATGGGGAAAATATATACCCTGAGTATTGTTAAATTAAAAGGAAGTCTATGTATACAAGAGGGCTGTGTAAAAGAGAGCTGTTATTATTTTCAGTAAAAAGAGATGTACACGTAGTAGGCAGGAAAGTGCAGTTCACAGATAAAAGAACATATTGGACTGTTTTCTCCAGCATTGTTCTTGTTTTTTTTTTTTTTTTCTAGCTGTTCTGTCTTTCCTGTCTCTCTGGTCTGCATCTACCCATGACTGCTAGTTCTACTCCACTCCAGTTCCCAAGCTTATCTAAGGCAATTACAATGGACTTGAGAACTAAGTGGAGGGACCTAAGAAGTGTATCTATGCCCCAGTAATAGAAACGAATTGCCCATGTGCTCCTCAAGCCATCTCATAACCAGCCATACTTAGGAGCAAGAAAATTGTATTATTTCCACTTAGAGTTGTTGGGTTCTAAGTATGCTTCTCCTCTCCTAACTTTACTCCATTTCCCCCACAATTCCCATACTGACTCAGTTCATAAGTCTGGTCTCTGTCTTCATCCCTCTTCCTTAGTACTGATTACCTGCTTAAAACCCCGATTCCTCAAGAACTAGAGCCTGTGGACCCTTAATGTAACTGTTGTGACAGAAAGTAGGGATGTTTAGGGTGAATACAATTAATTTTGTTTCAAACACACCACTGTAGACTTTCAATAAAATATTTTAATTTCACAATTAGCATTATATAACAAGTGCTCAGTAAGGTCATAGAAATTTGGAACTCACCCGTTTCGTAGCATTACTTACAATAGTGAGAGTAGATGAGATAATGAGGACTCAGCCTGGGGACTATTCAGTCAGGAAACATGAGGAATATCCTTTTAGAATCTTCAAAAGCCATTCTGAGAACTCCCTCTTCAGACTCTTTCTAAATGTCTGCCAGAAGGATGCTCTGAGGCACTGACTGCTTACCACCATTAGCAGATATTAATCACCAATTTTTAGATTAAAGGAAGAAGGATAGTGCTGATGGCAAAGAAAGGTAATGAAAGTTTTCAAGGGACCAAGAAAATCCCTTGTGAAAGAAAAACTTTGGGTAGGGCAAGGATAGAAGGGCGTGAAGTCCAGAAATTCCGCTTTTAAAACAGTCTGCACAATGATGACTTGTTGATACAGGAAAAACCTTTTACACTATTACAAATAGCATGAGAATTCTTATATTGGATACAATATTGATATCTAAAAGTCAGGAGTTTTTTTATATACAGAAGAACAAGTTATAAGACAATGAGAGAAAAAAGTGGGAAAAGACTTCATTTACAATAAATCTAAGATATAATCAGCCAATAAGTATAACTATAATGTGCAAGATGTATTTGAAGAAATATTTTAAATGCTAATACAGGGCACCAATGAAAACTTTTCTTTAAATTGTTTTTCAAATACAGTTGTCTCCATTTTCTCTCCTCCTCTTGCCCCCATCCTACACATCCTCACCTCCCACCCTGGATCCTACCCTCTTGTTTGTTTTGTTGACCAGGTTCTGCTTTTAGGTGAGATCACTTCATACACATCAGAGTAGCCATCAAAACAAATCAACAAGTGCTGGTGAGGATGTGGAGAAAAGGGAACCCTAGTGCACTGTTCATGGGAACACAGACTGGTTTAGCCACTGTGGAAAACACTACGGAACTTCCTCAGGAAACTAAAAATGGAACTGCCTTTTGACCCAGCAATTCCACTGCTGGTAGTATATCCTAAGAACCCTGAAACATCAATCCAAAAGAACCTATGCACCCCAATGTTCATAGCAGCACAATTTATAATAATCGATGAAAACTTGAACATATAGAAAGGCATATTTTGTTTGGTCGTGGGTAGGAAGAAATGACAGTAAAAGGCAATTCTCTTTATCTTAATCTTACATCACCACAAACCCAACAAAGCACAAATAAAAACTGAGAATGAGTGGTGACTAAAAAAGCTAACTCTTAAGTCTGAGTGAGAAGACACACTAAGCCCAGAAGCCATAAACATGCAAAGACACACAGGAAAATGCTGAAAAATAAAATTAGTGACTAGCCTTGACAAAACAATAGGGGCCTAACATAAGAAAAGAGGGAACAATCAATGAAAATGATGAAATACATTTTTTTAGAAGTTGATCCAAATATGAACAGGAATTTACAATGCAATAAAGATGGTTTGCAGGTCGATAGGGGGAAAGACTGATTATTTAATTAACAATTCTGAGACAATCTGGACTATCTGGAAACACACAGAAAGTTGGTTTTTTTTTAAAGATTTTATTTATTTATTTTTAGAGAGGGAAGAGAGGGAGAGAGAGAGAGAAAGAGAGAAACATCATTGTGTGGTTGCTGGGGGTTATGGCCTGCAACCCAGGCATGTACCCTGACTGGGAATCGAACCTGTGACACTTTGGTTCGCAGCCTGCGCTCAATCCACTGAGCTATGCCAGCCAGGGCTAAAAGTGGGTTTTTAATGTACTCTTTACACCAAAATAAATTCTAGATGACTCAGAGATTCAATAATATAATTATTATAAAAATCATTATAAGAAAATAAAGCAAAATTTCTTTATACCTTTTGCATTGTGAAGTCCTCTCTAAATATTACTACTAAGCCCAGAAGCCATAAACAAAAGAAAACTAAACTAAAATTTTTCAAACTCTTATATGGCTAAAACCACCATAAAATCTTTTAAATAAAATATGATAAAATATCTGTCATACACATAATATAAAAAAGATAATTTCCCTCATATGAAAAGAATTCCTATAATCCTAGAAAATAATTCTATTATGTGGTAAGAGAATACTACCCAATAGAAAATGAACAAAAGCTAAATTTAAAAATTCAAACTGATTTTAAACATTAAAGATTCTCAATCTTATTCATAGGAAATATACATTAAAGCTACAAGGTTATACACTTTTTATCTACTTCCTCAGCAAGATTAGGGAGATTGATAATTTACTGGGTAGGTAAAGGCCTGAGGAAACATTGATGTGGGAATGTATATTAGTAAAATTTTTATGGAGTGCTATTAGGAGATATCTATTAATAATAAAATGTACATACCTTTTGACCCAGTAATTTATCTTCTGAGATTTATTTAACAGATATAACTGCATCTATATGAAATTGACATATTTAAAGGAATATTCACTATTGTGTGCATGTAAATCCAAAAGAATGGGGAAAATGTAAATATCCATCAATAAGAGAATAGTTAAATAAATTCTGGTATGTCCATGGAATGGCATACAGATAATGAGAGACCTCTACCTGTATGGATCCTGATATGGAATGGTCTTGAAGATCTATTAAGTGGAAGAGCAACAGCATATTTTGGTTGTATTACATCCATATTTATATCTATGTAATGATTTATGTGGTTTTATGTGCAAGCAATTGGCAAAAGCATGCCATCTGAGAGGAGTCATTAAGTGGCTAAGCATGGGGTGCAGACTTTGCACCCTATTCCACTTCACAAGTTCTGAACTTTATACTATGTGCACGTGCATGAAATTAAAAATACACAATCCCACAAATACACATTAAATGTTTATTGTTTTCATCCAAAGTTAGACATTTCTAAACAAACACACAAAAGAACCAGTTATCCAAGAATACCTAAAAACACAATTCTTAACATATGTGTAATGTGTGTTCACATCTTACTTAGACTTGCTCTTTTACTACAACTGAGTAAGGAAATTATCACACATACTATAGTTCAAAGTTTTTTAAGGATTTGTTATTTTCTGCTTTATGAGTATTGGCTGCAGTGGAGAAAGGACAGAACTGTCTTTTTCAACACACGCTTCAGGAGCAGGTAACTCTGCAGTCCCATGTATACTGATTTTGAAAAGCACTGTTTTCCAGTCTTTTAAGTAAAACTAAAATTTAACACTAAATGGCATTTCCATCTTTCTTAGTTGCTCACATGGAAATTACAGAACAAGAAAAAGTTTCTGAAAGAACAGGAAGAGTTAAGGAATAGGACTGGGAAATACACAAATTGTAAATCACTCTGCATTCCCAAAGTGTACAATTTTCTTAGTATTAAACAGGATGAACTTCACAATAACAAGTACAAGGGGAGATATTTTGTAAAGAATCTTCCTTTTTCTTATTAGCATTTCAGAAAAGGGAATGTCTTTTCTGACTGCTAGTTATGAGAAGAACTTTCATTTCTTCTCTAAAGGGAGACTACGTTCTGTATGTGCAGTTCCTCTATTTGAAGTGTTCCCCAAAAGGAGATTATCTTCTTTCAGCAAAGCTTCTAAATAACGGTCAATCTGTTCCAGGTCTCCTCCTGGTCCTCCCTGCCAAAGCAAAGCAACAGTCACAGCAGAGGAAGAAGCTGCAGCATTTATTCCTGTGAGCTCGTGGGCCTCTGAACAGTCTTCTCTATGATTCATGTAACAACACAACCCACCTTGCATTTCAATAATGATTTTAACCTTTTAAAATGTTTTCACATTTAATCTCATTTTATGCTCGCAAGTGGTTAAAGAGTTGGATCATTTTTTCTTCTTCAGAGAAGGTTAATTTATCTTTTATTTTCCTTCTACCTGATTCTTTGTCATATTCCTAATGCCCCTACTCCAGCCTCATCTCATCTTTCTGTGATAAGTGCTCATCTCCTATTTTCAAGATTCATGAAATCTGTAGCTTTATAGGCTAAACAGGTGAGCAGAAAAATTCTGATTTCTCTGTTTCTCCTCTTCCCTCTGCAGCATTTTTCCCCACGATGCTTGGCTTGCTGCCTGCCTCTCTCCCTTATCTCTCTTTTCCCTCAGATCTCGAAGTTAATTTCATGCTCTCCTTCCCTGGGCTTCTTGTATCATAAACAGCTGGACAAACAGTCCTTCTTTACTGACCCAAATCTCACACCCTCAGGCCCAACCATGGCATCAACCCCTCCCCAAATGAGCTGACAGAAAAGAGAATTTTTAGGAAGGACCTTTTAGAAATAATTCCAATTTTATTATTGTTTCCTATAAATGTCTGGCACCATCATCCTAGTTTCTCCATCCCTTATCTGTTAAATAGGATTAAATTGAATATGCTTCCACTTTGTTCCCTATATCCTAGATTTCTTCAGTCCTCTATCGAGGCTGGATTATTTTACATCCCAGCTTTGTGACTAGGAAGGACCCTGTTCCTAAAGACAGATTTCCACAATACTGATCTTCACCTGCATTCCAAATATTCACCGACCCTTAGGAATATGCTGCCTGATCTTTCCTGACACTGACCGCTCTCAGCTGACTGGGTCTAGTCTGATCCTTTGGCCAATGCTCTCTACCTAGCAGACTAAACTCCCACCTAGAACTTCAGGTGGGTCTCTGGCCTCTTCATATGCCCACTGCATCTGTTGTTGGGTCTACCTCTTCTCAAGTTTCTGCTCTATTCCACTGTATTTGCTCTAGCAATCAGAGACAGTAAAAATGGAAATTTTAAGTGGGGGATGAGAGTACATATATTTGGGCAGGAACCCTTTGAGTACCTCTCTAATGATACTAGACAAAGCATTTCATACTCTGTGGGCTAAAGTCCTTCATTTCCTTACCAAACTTTGTGAATAAAACAAATTAAATTAGTATAATGACCCTGACTATTTTGGAGTAGAGGCAGGAGTTTGTCATAAAAAGGAGAACAAATTATTATGGTTTCCTTTTTTTCCTAGCAAAACATAAGTTTGTTATGCTGAGAACCAACACTTTTTATGAATTTTTCTCATAAAGAGTGACATTCAAGTTTTATGACATAGAATTTGATATGATGTAGGTCTCTCTAGTTTTTCTTGTTAGTGAAACAACTATTACCAGTGAATGTTAACCAAATGCCAGGCTTCACACTAGACCTTTTCCACATAAAAATATTTCCCACCCTTTACAGCCACAAGAACCAAAAGGAGCTCCACTCACATCCTACTTTTACAGCAATACATAAACTTGAATGATAGGCTTATATACTATTGTTGATAGAAGCACAAGTATAATTAGCACCATTGGAAAACAGCATTAATTGTCCTTTTATATTTTAATAATGAAACATTTTAACTGTTGCCTAGACCACCCAAGGAGAGGAAAGGTCATTTCTTTTGGCCATATATCTCAATTAAACAAAAATACTTTCTGCTTTTTATTTTGTAGTCAATATAAGAGAACTCCCAGAGAAACCAAAATATGTATTTCTTTGAAGGAGAAATAGACTATCAACTTGAATGCTCACAAGCCAGGGCTAAAACCAGGGCAGTATGGCTTCAAAGTCCGTATTTCTCCCCAAACCCCTTCATGGCCAGGACACGCCTCCAGCCCTCCAGTCAGGGCTCTCGGGTGGTCGGGGAGAGACTCAGCTCCTGGCCTCTCACCCTGCATGGCCCAGGGAGGCTCTGTCTTTGTCCCAGATTTACTCTGAGGAAAATGCTGTGTGCTTCCTAGGCTCACTGGTGATTTCTCAATTTATTTCTAGCATTTACAGAAAGATTTTTCAGTCTTAACTATATGTGTTTTAATTTTTTATGTATTTTACCTAACATTTCTATGTGCTATGGTAGATGAGCTTTTCCTCACTAGCTCAATCTGAGAGAAGCCGAATTCTTTATGCATTAAAATATACAAATAAGATGGACAATAATCCATATTTACTTGATATTCCCTGACCTATCCAATCTATCCTCTAAGATTAGAAGAGTCCATTTTTATTTATATATTAGGGTAAAAATAAATTAACATAGTTTGCGATCTGAAAAAACTGGAAACATACTACTGAGGAGACTTGAGAGTAATCACTATACCAACAGTATACAAGCAAAGATTCCGATTTTGTGAAGAATAATAGACCTTTAAAAAAGGTCCTAGCATATACTTTCCAAGTTCATTTATTTATAGTTTCAATACCCTCACAGGGAGAGTAAAGGCTAGGCTAATGACTTGTCCGAGGTCAGTAAACAGATGACGATGTTAGAAGCTGGCCGAGTGCTCTTCCCACAACGTATACCCCTACTGCTCAACTAAAACCTCATCACTCACCAGCTGGAATTTCTGCAGCACTGCTGCCAGTTTCACACGAAGCTTGTTCAGTTTATCTTCAGTAACTTTTCTTTTTTGCTCACATTGCACCAGAGTTACTTCATTAATCACTCCTCTCCTATTAGCATCATAGATAATAGACTGCATTTTTCTCTTCAGTTTCTCTTCATACTGGGCCATATAAACATTCTGGATCTGGAAATGTTTTTTAAAACAGTCTTAATATATTTTTGAGTTTTACTTTTCCCCCTAATACGAGAAAGCAATTTCATATTTCAATTATGCATATATATACCTAGTGTCAATTCCATATGTATATGTCATCACATGTTCCATAAATATTGTTTGTCCTTAAGAACATACACTCTAATAGGAGAGGAAAAGAAAGAAAGAACAATGTACAATAGTCCAGATTCTGTAATACAAGGATGAGAAAGGCACACCAATGTATTCCCTTGTTTTAGAATGAAGACGGAACCCATTAATGGTTGAATTTGTTCTCCCACCAGTGATATCAGATTGTTCAAGACACCAAGGGGGAGGACCCTGTAGCCCTCTCTCCACAGAACCAGAAACTCACACACAATGACAGAATGGCCAGCCACCGGGACTTTTATGGCAGATAATGTTGTGTTATTTATAACTCAAGTCTGTGGCATTTGGAAAGTACAGAAGCTACAGTAAGGGGGATTCCTGTTCTGTCACTCCCTTTGGGTTCCTTTTCCTGATGTAAAGACTACAGTTATATATGAGCACATCCAACCCTTGCTAATTCAAGGGATCTTGGTAGTTTTCCAAAAGCCCATGCTGTGTTTGAGGCACTCACAGAAGAAATAGATAATGGAGAGGCCAAATGTTTCAACTTCAAAATGACATTAATTTCTTGCATCAACATTTTGAGAGGGCCAAGGGATAGTCAGAGAAAAGAGATTCACGTCAAATCTTGCTTTGATAATCATTTAAATGGCTCTATAATGAGATTTCTGTGCTCTAACATGATTGGGTTGCCAGGAAAATTGTAAGGTAGCTTTGTTTGTCTTCTAGGACTGCTCTCCCTGCCTTGCCCCTCCTCTACCACACTCCCTAATACGTGCGGGCCCTTCCTAGACACTGTCCACATGGTCCCCTTTGTACTCACTGACCTCATTGTGAATTTGCCATCTTTCTATAAAATCTTTTAAACAAACAAAAATCCCTAAATACATTAACTTCTTTTTAATAGACATTCACTGTCTCCTAAATTCAAGAAATTGAATTTAACTATAGGTGATACAAAGATATGTAAGGTTCAGTCTTTACCCTGAAAAAATTTAAAGACTACAGTGAGAGATAATCAAGTAACAGATATTATATCTTATGTGAGAAAGTGCAATTGTACCCCCAGGTAAGACACACGTCTGAATTCTCCATTAAATTAAGAGAATTAAAATCTTTACTTAAAATAGTTACCTTAGATCTATGCCAGTAAGTTATCCCCAATTATTCTTTTGTTTTGTGAGCTATTAACTGAAAGTATTTGGGAGTAGGGATACAAATACCACTCCAGAGTGGCAAACTCTGGTCCTAAAGGCGTGCCCCCCCACACATGCACACATAACACACACACACAAAGTAGTCTGTTCAAGGTGAGATTTACTTGTGAGGTTTATAGATTGCCATATAAATACATTTTAGAGTGTTTAACTTCCTGGAAACTTGTGTGACGCATCAGGAATTAGACCTGAAAGCCTTGATCTAACACTACCTATTTTTACCTTATTTCCTGAGTTCCAGGCCTCATTTTTCCAGGAATACCAAGCTCATTCTTGCCTCTGGCCCTCTACACCTGCTATGTCTCTTTGTTTCTTAAGTTTGACCCCAGATTTAGAGAAGGCTGACTCTTTGCCTCAGGTCTGTATTGAAACATGCTCAAATATTCTGTGCTCACCTAGAATAGCCTCCCCTTCCCTAACACACACCATCACTCTCTATCCCCAGCCCTGCAGTTATTTTATGGCACACCACACTATATATTTATTTATTTCTGCATTTAGCATCTATCATTATGTGACACTGCATTATGTTTTATTTATGTTTTTATCTCTTTCTTTTTTACATTCCTTCAATGTAAAAAAAAAAAAGGTTTGGTTCATGTCTGTATTTCCAAAGCCTGCCACACAGTGAGTCCTGAGTAGTGGGGAGTTAGGAGGGCCAGTGTGTAGCATTCACAACACAGTAAGTGGATTTCAGACACAGGGGCTAATCCTGCCTTGAAATCCTCATTCTAAGATCGTGGAGGGGAATCTACTTTTGATCATCCTCAATTCAACCTACAAGAAGCTGATGATTTACAACTAAGGCAACAACCACCTCCTCCAGGAAGCTTCACAGATGCTTCCTATGGAGGCTTCAGTCCAATGCAGAGAGTGACATTTCCTTGGGTTGCAGGTGGAGGAAAGTAAATAATTCAATTCAGATGGAATAATGGCACAGTCAGATAGTTCAGATGTCACCCATTTACACTTCTTAGTTTTCAGAACTCTAGAATTTTACAACTTCTGCCATCCTGAACAATAGCCACAAAATCTTTTTTTATATAAGCAAAACAATAACACAAACCAAAAGAAATAAAATTTAAGAGAAATAAAATATTAAAACAACATTATTTAGAAAACAAAAGTAATGCTCATCAGCAACAAAAAGGAACACACTATTGACACACGAATGGCTCTAAAGGGCATTATGCTGAGAGAATAAAGCCAATCACAAAGTGACACATACTGTATGATTCTATTGCTGTAACATCTCTAAAATGACAAAATTATAGACATGGGGAACAGATAAATGGTTACCAAGAGTCTGTACATGGGAGGTAGGACTATAAAGGAAGATCTCTGTGGTAATTGGAGCTCTGGATCCTGATTTTAGTAGTGGTTACACAAATCTGTACCTATGATAAAATGAGACACATATTTTACCAATGTCCTGTTTTGATATTATATTGTAGTTATATAATGTAGGACATAAGCTTTGGGGGAAGGGTACTTGAGATTTCTAATATTTTGTAAATTTCTGTGTATCTATAATTACTTCAAAATAAAAAGTTCAAAAGACAACATTGATAATATGGTGTGACATTAAGAATGTTTACAAAGCCCTGGCTGGTGTAGCTCAGTGGACTGAGTGCAGACCTGCAGACCAAAGGGTTGTTGGTTCGATTCCCAGTAAGGGCACATTCCTGGGATGCAGGGCAGGTCCCCAGTAGGGGGCATGTGAGAAGCAACCACACATTGATGCTTCTTTCCCTCTTTTTTCTTCCCTTCCTCTCTCTCTAAAAATAAATAAATAAATAATCTAAAAAAAGTTTATATAGCACATTACATTAAACGTCATATTTAGTCTCTCAAAGTTCACTGTCTTGTAACCAGCAAACTTTATTTCCTTCAAATACCACCAGCCTGTTTCTGATTTATTCTTTTGCCTTTCTCAGGCTAACATCTCCAGGAGGTTTCCGTAAAATATAGCAATTTTCACAACCTTTAAAGCTCAATATAAAGGGACTTCTAGTTGTATTAACATTTTAATGAAGGTAAGTAGAGATTTATAACAAAATGAGAAGCTTAGTTCTGCTGGATAAACTTACCCTTGTAAAGGTATTTTAGGCAGATCAAAAGTCTAAAACTACAGTAATTCAGAACAGAATTAGAATTTGAAAGAAAGGATATTCAACTGAGATTTCAATTTTCTGCCTTGAATTTAAAAAGTCAGAGCTCTGGAGTTCCAAAACCCTAACAAATATGCATATGCATAAAGCAAGATTTTGTACCTTGCTTACAAGGATATGCATGTGAATGTTTATGTGGGCAGGCTCTAGAGAGGACACAATGAATTTTGATTCAACACACAAAGAATAAGATCCAGATGCATTCAAAGTTCTTGATCGAATGCCACCAAGATACAGAGTTTGGTGAGAGAGGAGTGTTAACTTCAAAGATTTTATAATCTTGTTAGGAAAAAAATAAAATATCAGAAACTACTACAACACAAAACAGAAAATCGAATGCTAAAATCAAGTTTTAAGGCTCCCCCAGAGTACAGAAAGTCAGGATTAATTTCCCTTGGAGAGACTGAGTAAGACCTGGGGAGAAGGCAGCACTGAGCAGGTTCTACACAGGGTGTGGAGGGGAAGGACTTCAAGAGGCCACCTGTAGACCAGGAGAGTAGATAAGAATATTCTGGGACAGCATCATGAAAGGCTCAGCGGCAAGCTAGTCTAGTACATTGGAGCAATTCCAATTTGGATGGACCAGGCAGCTTGTGAGATGGAAAAATAAAAGATGGTGGTTCAGCTGAGGCTGTGCAGGACCACCAGTGCTGTCATGACCCAATGACAGCTGTGGCAGTAGTTATGGAAACCACTGATGTGGTCAAGATGAGGTGACCGAACAAGTCTGTGAGTTATCCAGGGTCTTTCTGTGCTTGGATGTGGTTCTCTTCATTAAAAGTACTCACCTTCAAGCAAGTTACATAAATTTGTCTACATGGAATTGAAGAAAAGATCTGAATAGATTTTATAACTACCACCTAAAGCTAACAGGTATTAATAAAGTCTTTAAGACCAAACAGTTTCATGTGAGGGAAGTCATGATTCCAACTCTTCTGTGTTTTGCTTGCAACATCTCAGTTTCAAGAGGAACTCCTGGTCTCCTGACTATTTCTTTTACTTTGATTCTTTGAATCTCACTTGCCCTGAACATTAAAGGGGTTCTATTCATCATCTATGCTAATACATTTCACCTTGAAGAAACATTTTTCTTATTCAATCTGGTCTCCAAGACCCAACAAGTTGGCTCTTTTACTGATAGTGTAAACACTAAAAAATTATCACTTAGAAACAGACATTAAGGATATATATATAAAAGCTTGGGTAAAATGAAATGTACCACAGCCTAAATATTAGCACATATCTAACTTTTACAGTGTAGCTACTTAAATCAGAGTTCCCTAACCAGTAGATGAAGATCTGTGCAAAGATCCAGAAGCCTTACTGGTAATTCTACAAGCTGGCTGCCACAGACTTACAATTAGAATATTTCTTGATGGGACACTAAACAACCCACCTACCACATGCACACACACCTTTCCAAAATTTCACTGGCAGCATCTCCCCCATATACATCTCATTATGAAGTGTCAGGGTGTCTAGTGAATGAACAATAATTATCTTACACCAACAGGCTGTGAAGATGTAGTTTACCTATTGCAAGTAATACATGCAAACTCTATCACAAAGCTGGAATATTACCATCAAGATAAGAATAAAATGAAAGAAAGTGGTACAGTAAAAAAAGGTTTGAAGTGGGACAAATCTGGGTTCCAACACTAAATCTACTACTTGCATTGTGACATTGGAATATTATCTTTCTGACTCTCCATTTCCTCATTACAAACATGTAGATGGTGGCACCCACCCCTCAAAGTTGTAAGAGTTAAATGAGGTAACAGATATAAGATATAAGAGGCTGTTTACAAGGCCTAGCTCAGTGTCTGGCTCTAGTAGCTCTTGACCAATCAGTTTTACGATCACTGATGATAATACTATTAGTGCTAAAATAGGGTCAAAAATATATCGAAAGAAAACTTAGTTTTTTATTCTACTCTACTTTGGAAATGTTGACAAGTCTTCAAGCTGAAAATGTTCAATCACTGCTTTCAACAGAACATTATTTAGAAAATATGCTGCTTTTCAGCTGAATAACAATAAACTAAGACCTACAAGATGCCTTCATCTGCGCATATCCCAGTCCAGTAGGCACTCAACCAGAAACATCAGAGGCAAATGCATCAACTGGGGTATTCAATTTAGGAACACCCTAAAATTCAAAAACAGTCTTTCTAAGAAGAAATCTGGTTTAGGTTCTAATTTTCCTTTCAAGTTTGCCTAGCTACATGTCTTTGGGAACTTACTTCAGAATTCCATTTCCTTTATAAAACCAGATTATTCAATATACTCTATTTCTCACTACAGATATGAGGCAATGCTTTTGCTTATAGTTGTGCTTTGCACAACTCCTGGAGGTACCATTCACTTCTTAGTCTTCATAAATTTGCATGTTGCTATGATAGTTTTCCAGAAGATGGCTATACGCATTGTTTTTAAAAAAATTTTAACAGTAAAATTGAAGTCTAATTGACTTAATTAAGCAATTCATTAATTGAAAAGCATCCCATTTAGCAACAAGAAGGGTTTGCCAAGGGGCAGTACAAAATGGAAGGCTTTTATAGAAAGAAGGGTGGCACAAGGGAGCTGTTAACATAAGGAAGGATTATTTTCAGACCAGGACATCTTCTGTGGGGGGGCAAACAAGGGTTTTTAATTATTCAGATTGCCTCTTCTTTCTATGGAGGATGGGGAACACCCATATGACAGATTGCCTCAGTAGTGTTAACCCGAAAATTCTGGAATGGTTGATTAAAAATGTATTTCTAGGAAGAGGTTAAAAACAGTAATTAGGTCAGGTATTAAATTTAGGTTTGGCATCATGGGCTTTAACAGAAGTGATGCTATTTTAACCAACTATAGAAATGATCCCTGAAAGTATAGTCTTATGAGTGATGCTATGTGGAGCCTGTGGTTTTCTCTTTAACAGTATAAGCACATGGAAGAAGATGCTAGTATATGTGCTAAGGATGGAGCTGGTGTACCTCTTTGAGCAAACACAAGTGTCAGTGAAGAGCTAACATCTCAGTATTAATCTGGTATTAAGAAAAGTTCTAGACTGCTGTGGCCTCTATAATGAATATCTGTGAACCTCTGTCTGTCCTGGCTCCAACACTAATTCCCTATGTCAGCTTGGAGATTAGTGCTGGAGTTCACATCTTAGATTCTCAGTTCCCCTGAGTGTGATTTAGGGACTTGAAGACGTGATTTTTTCTGACATTTCTCTAGTAGAACTGAAAGACTCTATGGACTCTATTCCCTGCCCCCAGAAAATCTTTAGGAACTAGGTACACACTATTACTTAAGACTATAAAAATCATCATCCCTGGCTGGATAGCTCAGCTGGTTACAGCATCATCCCAATATGCCAAGGTTGTGGGCTTGATCCCCAGTCAAGGCACATACAAGAATCAACCAATGAATATGTAAATAAGTGGAACAACAAATTGATATTTCTCCCCCCTTGTCCCCCTTCCTCTCTCTCTGAAATCAATAAATTTAAAAGAAGAAAGGAAAATTTTTAAAAAATTAAAACATCTACTGAGAGAAAGAGAGAGAGGTTGTAATGAAATACACCAAAATAGTAATAGCAGTGATCTTAGAATGGTTTGGGACTATGGACAATTTTTTTCTTTAACTTTTCTGTTAGCATTAATTATTTTTATAACTACTTTTATAATGGGAAAATCTTAAACTTTAAAAACTGTTGATAGGACGCTAAACAAACAAACATACAATCAAACAAAAAGCCCTGGGAAATATGAACTTGTACAGAATACAACAAGTAGTTTCACTGTTTCATTGTAACATTGATAAGATGCCACAGGAACCTAACTCTTGTTCATATCAACAGCCTGTGATAAAACTGGTTTGTTATACAGGGTTTCACTTAAAGTCACAGAATCTTCTGATGATGTTAAGAGAGGACTTAACTGTAATCAAAATTTTAATCTACAAACAATTTCTGGTTTCGTCCAGTGTCTCAGTAATTCAGTGAATCTATTTCTTAAAGATTCAGAATGTCATGTTTCCACTACAAATAGTAGTCCTACTCCTAGTGTTTCATAAGCTTTATGCTGTGAGAACATTTACATTTTCAAAGTCAAAAGGATGTTTCTTTGTGACATCTGATATGTTACAATAATGTAAGTCTTGATAAGTGAATGCAAATTTGATTTCCTTCCAAACACAACATTTAGAAATGTGTAGTATTTCTCCTTTGGAATACAGGATCATTTAGAACATAAATTATTAGGTTGAAAGGAAGCTTACCTGTTTGAAACACATTTTCAGCTTTCTGTTTGTCTGCTCTGGGCATTGCTCCAGCTGTTTTCGTAAATTATAATAAAACAGGATATTAACTTTTAGAGGATCAGCTATCTACAAGACTTATAACATGCAATATCTAGTATAAAAGAAACATCAAAGCTTAGAACTGGCTTTGGTTAATATTGATACAGGGGGTCTTTTAAGCCTCGGTCTAATTAAGTTAATTCACTAGGGTATATCTCACCTAATTCCAAAAGATGATTAAAGCAGTTCACATAATTAACACAGCATGGTTAAAAAATTGCAAATAACAAAGCTAAAGTGAAGGAAAAGTAAATGATAAATAATAAATACTCAAAGTGATGTCAAGAAGGTAGGTGGGGTCTGGATTTCTTGGTCGGGATCTCCACAGAAATAGACTGACGAGGCACGGGCAGAGGAATGGGGTCTGAAGCCAGAGACTAGCTGAGGTCACCTGGAAACACCATTTAATAGACAGACGAAGGTGTTCCAGAAAATGAGTCCTCACGCATGTCCACATTTAGACACTAAACAGAGAAGGAGCTGCCCTCAAAGACAGGAGGGAAACAAGAAAATGAGAAGAGTGCTGTTGTGGAAGCTACACAAGAAAGTGCTAAAAAAAAGTAGCAAGTGGTCAACTGGGCTGAAGGCTTCTGAGAGGTCAGTTAAGGTCACTGACCACTGCATTTGTCAGCACAGTGGTCACCGGTGGCCTCACAAGACAATCGCATGAAGCAGTGGAGTCAGAAGCCTGACGGGGGATGGTGAGGCCAGAGTACAGGGTGGAGAAGCAGAAACAATGGCTGTAGGTTAGAAAACTAAGGACTTCACCCAGGATCATATTAAGGCATATGGCACTTTGGATCAATTAATAATTTGGTGCTCTTTGCACTGATAGTCTTTCCATGTGCATCCATCCTTTCCACAAGCAGCACTGATCACAGGGGTGAGAAGGAGCCCTTCCACCGGCCACACCGCACAGCTCTTCTCCACTCCCATGAGTGGCTCTGGTGGCCACAGGCCTGCACACCCCACTCAGCTTCACTGCAGCCTGAGACAACCTGGCAGCTTGGGGACATCAACTGTGGGAGGGTGTGAGGCTCACCCTGCACACCTCAGGTTGCTGATCAAAGTTTTCCTTCCCTTCATATATGGTACTGTCCCTGGAAATAGATTTGATAAATTCAATTGTCTTCATCTTTCCGTATGATGTCTTAGTGATTCTAATAAGACTAGTGCTCTGAGCACCTAATGTGGCTGACCCACCCCATCCTCTCCTCAGCTCTTCATAAAAGGCGGCAGAGGAAGTGTGTCTAAGAGATAGAAACTGCATTTTTGGTGCAAGGAAGGAAAGTCAGGAACTACGCCCCCTTCTTTTGATCTCTGCAACCAACAGTTCTCAGTCTGTAAGATCTTCCCGAAGCTTATTTAACCCTTGGCCACATTGGTTTTAATTATGAGTCGTCTATTAGGTGTAAGGATCCTTATCTTCATTCACTTAGTTCCTCTAACTGGTAACACTTGACATTTTTGTTCACCAAAGATTAAATTCAGGCGCTTGTGTCATTCCCTCTGAGTTCCACAAAAGCTAGCTTACCTCCAAACTTGCTACAAATTCCTCCACAGATGAGCAGCCAAATTCTGATGGTGGCTGATACTCTGGAAAGAAATACAGAATAATCTCCCTGGGAATAAAAGCACAGCAGACATGGGAATATATTATTTGTGTTAATATTTACAGTTTTAAGGAGATTCGATCTGAACAGTTAAAATCCTCAGCATTGCATGATATCAAATATAACACACATATGCACTCATGCATACACTGTGCAGAATATTTGCCTCGGTAGTGAGAAGATGAGTGGTTGGGGGCAGAGTGATAAAGGGCCTGTGGGAATCTGAGATGAGCAGCAGGCAGATGGCATAGAAAGAAAAGCTGCATCTGGATTCCCTGGGAGAGGGGACCTGTGGTCAGTCTTATGGCTGGTTTGGTGGGACAGAGGGGTGAGAGGTCTTTTACACAAACCACTCCTCTCTCCCACTAAATCCAGCCTCCCTTCCTCCAATACAGGGCTGAATCCTCTTCTGAGCATTGGTCCTTTTCATGGTACGTATAAATTCTTTTGGGTTTAGAGCTTCAGAGCGATGTTCTAAGGAAGTACTTCTAGAAAAACATGGTAATTGAGGATGAGAATGCGGCACCATAAGTACTGAGAGAGGGGATCCTAGCTCACATTTGGGGAGCCCCGAAGAAGAGGATCTAGCCAGCAGTGAGGAGCAGGGGGTGGAGGCATGTGCAGGATGTATTCTAGACCAACTGCACCACATGTTGGGGAACTGAGTGTTTTGCAAAGGTCCTGCACTCCTGGTCAGGTTCAACCACTTTTTATAACATGCTAAAAGTGTGCTAAGCATCGCTACCTGCTTCATACTTCATACATACAATTTCATGTAATTTTTATGGAAACTGACTGAGAAGTTAACCCTATCATGAATCTCTCTGGTTTCCCTGTAATTAAGGACACCATCCCCATCAGGCTCAGGCAGGTTGGCTGTGCTCTCCTTCCCAGTATTCAGCCTTTCCCTCCCTCCTCCACAGAGCTGCTGAGAAACGGCTTTTCCCTGGGGGATTCTGTCCCATAGGACTGACTAGAAAAGCAGACAGGTTATCCAGCTCCCAGGGCGTCCTGGCACAATCACACAGACCTTTTTCTTTCTCTGTTCCCAAAAAATGAGATCAGGAAAACTGTTACATGCTGTTAAAAAAAAACAAACTCTAAGATACCAAAAACCACAAGTGAAGAAGAAATCTCTTCTCTGGTGAAATGTGAGAAAACATACTGCTACTGCTTAAGGCAAAAGAGAAAACTGGTATATGAGGAACTCGTTTTGTTCCGGTTAAAGCTTTGTATTTTGTACAATTCCTTTTCCACTGAATATTCCAATAACACAATCAGCACAAAATTTCAAGCTGGCATAGAAAAGAGCTGATTATGAATATATTCAGCTTTCAGAGTGTTCGGTTGATAATAGTACAATGATTTCAGGCAGTAAAGATTCTGCATGTCCATTAGGGAGTGGCTTCAGGGAAATTTTCTATTGATGCCTAATTATAGAAGTGGATCCACTTTAAAGTTTTAGTACACTGAACCAGGTTACCTCCTTTCTGATCACATGTAACTCGTTATAAACTTAATAGTAATGATACACTTAGGTACAGAACAAAAATTAGCCAAGTGAAAAAAAAAGAAAATGATGATACATAGTGGCACACCCACACTCTGCTGTAACACAGACAGGTCTCTGCAGGCCTCATGGTGTGGACACCCACACACACTTTCATATGTATACATATGTGTATGCATTGTAAGTGTATGTGTGAGAGTGGGTATGTATATCTACATATGTGCATATATACACAATGGTTAAGAGCATGAGATTCCAAATCAGGGACCCAGAGGTTAAATAAACCCAGCCCTGTCCTTAGTGGCTGTATAATCTTCTTTGAGACTTTCAGTATATTACTGCTTCTCTAAGATTCTGTTTCCTTATCCATTAAAAAAATGTTAAAAATAATACCAGTCACAAGTCCTGGAAATAAAGAGGAAATACATACAAAGCATTTACATGAAAGTCTAAAATATAGCAATGGTTTGAAAGTTATAGCTCTTAATTACCAGGAAGGGTTGTCACAATCACTGCACATGTAATCATGTCCATACATTTTTAATAATATGCACACACTTATTCAGATATACATAGGCACATACATTTTATTGAATACTACAATGTCTCAGTGACCCACTGCCATGCCTGAATCTTAGAACTCATAACTAAAAAAACAGGATTCAAATTTACGGCTACCCAATTCAAAGGTGAGAAACTTACATATTACTTCTGATCAAATACTGACAGAAAGTAAGAAACTGGTTGGAGAATCCCATTCTTTAGGGTCTATACCACAGGCCAATGATTATCAACTGGTATGCCTCAAGAATATTCACAACATGTGCCCTGGCAGGTGCCCTGGCTCAGATGGTTGGAGCGTCAACCTGCTGGGAGGAGCCAGCCCAGCCCTGCTGTCTGACAGTCACAGAGGGAGCTGCGTGTCCACACAGCAGACACGGCGGGGGAAAGTACCTGGCACTCCTCTGCTTAATCATTGTATTACTACCTGTGCTTAGGGTCCATGTGATTTACCATGGGACCGGGACAGACGGAAATTCCACAGAAAAAGTACAGTTCTTCGGAAGTAAGCAAGAAAATGACAGCTCATTGGAAAGTGACTCCCCACCAGAGTGTCCTCCTAAGTGGGTTAGGAAGTTCCAAGAATGGGAATGGAAGAGACTCCTAGGATTACTCCCTACTAAAGCCCCTATACCCACCCTTATTACACAGTTTCTTAGAACCAGGGCTCCAGGAACAAGAAATAGATTCAAAAAACACATTTGGTCAGAATTATACCAGTATCCATGGTCTGTTTTCCCTCTAACTCCTAGGCCCACTGATCCCCTTTTACCCTATACCAGAATCTATCATAAAGGGACACAATGGGTAAACATAAATGGATATTGGAAAGATTATTATACACTCCCCTTCTATGAGGCATTTAAGTGATCAGGGTCCCCATGGTGTTCATTGCCAAAAAAAGTCAGACATCAAAGATGGAAACAAATAATAGAAATGTATCAACACCAAGGTAGATGGCAGGCAGCTGAATGGACTGAGCAACACAAAGATTATTACTTAAATAGAAAGACAGACAGGGCTCTGGCGCTGAAGTGAGAAGTGAGAGATAGGTACTAACCACATTGACCACAAAAGCCTTCCCCATGGCCTTTACCAATAAGCCAAAACAACCCTGTGCCCATCTACGTGCCCAGCTTGCGGCTTTAGAATATATAGATTAAGATTAAGTTAAGCTTTAAGAAATTAAGGTGATATAAGTGGTAAAATGTGTTACTGATTAATTGCAAAGATTAGGAGCTAAAAGCTTGCACAATAATATGCAGTTATAATGGACAGCTGTTTCTTATTATGTCTGTCATATTTTCTGTGGAACACTGACAAAACAGATATGCCCTGAGAACCTCATTTTGATTGCTTTTACATATGCCACATGTACACACACAACTGTATAAAAATAAAGAACTGAAGAGCCCAGCAGAGATGCCAGGCTGTTGAGCTTGAAACTGCACCTCTCGTGTCATTTCTGCGCCAACACCGTCCCTCCACTGGGAATCCCTGGACCTGCTGGAGCAGGACTCTGGCATCAACCAAAGGTTGCTAGCTCGATTCCCAGTCAGGGCACATACCTAGGTTGCAGGTTCCATTCCTGAAGTCCTCAGACAGGGTGCATGTGAGAGGCAACCAATCAATGTTCCTTTCTCTCCCTTCCTTTCTCTATAAAAGCAATGAAAAAAATGTCCTCTCATAAGGAATATACATCTATGTATATGTATATTTTTTCTGAAAAATCATGCAATACCTGACTAGTCTGGGGCATTGACCTTTTTTTCCTTAGATTGTCAGAAAACAAAATGACAATGGCCAACACAACAATACAGTTGTCCCTCGCTATGTTGCAGTTCACTGATTGCAGCTTCACTGTATTGCAGGTTTTAAAAAACTGGTGAGTATCCATATAGAATTTTATATGTTGTTAAAATTACGTAGGTTTCAGAGTATAGAAAGTGTTTAAGAGCACATGAGTGTTTGTAAGAGTGTGGAAAAAGTTAATAAGAGAGTGGGAAAGGTTTATAGGAGTGTGGGAAGGGTTTATAAAGCCTTAAAATATATATAAATAATAAAATAATTATAATACCGCTACTTCGTGGATTTTCACCTATTGCGGGAGTCTCTGGAACGTAACTCCCTCGATAGGTGAGGGATCACTGTAGCTGTCCAGTGTGAGTGAATCAAAGTTGTACCTAGTTTTTGTCAATGAGCAAAAAATATATTTTTTGGTGTGCTGCAGAATTTTAGTAATTAATTTACGTGTGCCATGAGATAAAAAGGTTGAAAATCGCTGCTATAGGCCACAGCAATATGAGACTGACATCCACCCAGATCACTGGAGAGGTGGTCTTCTTCAAGCTCATAACATCGTACAACACAGGTCTGGCCTGCTTCTGTGTCTTTCCCAGGCTGGTGTAAGCTTACTGACCCAGTAACTGTAGTAGATTTGGTGGTCAGAACTTAAGTGTTCAGAAATGTAGCACTCTAGTTTTGTTTCCTGGTTAATAACTTGTCTCTGGATTCCCTGGTATCATTAGTAAAATGTGTCCTGATGCAAAGTCCAAGGTAGATCCACCTACATGAAAGCAAGAGCACTTCCTCCTTTCTTCTGAAGCAGGACAGGTGTTGGGAGTGGGTTCCTAAACCACAGTAGCTGGGCCCTGCATGCCCTTACAAGCACAGCTCCACAGCCCTGGATGCTGCCACAGAAATTTCCATAAAGTCCAGGGCACCTGCAGAATTGAGTTCATGTCATATGTATACAGCCAATTTCTACCTTTCTTTTTCTTTCTACCTGCTTCTAAGTCTCTTCTCTAGGGACATTTTAACAGTCATTAATCAGAAAGTCAAAAGAATCATCCTAAGGAAACACACCTTCCAGCTATTGCGTGTTGCGAGGTCTCCTCGGCCAAAAGCCTCTTATCACACACAGGCTCCTCATAGTCTGTAAAGCCCAACCAAACCAACTAGCTGCCCTAATGTGGTGGTATTACTACCCCTGCCCCCTCACCCTCCCGAGTGACATCTACTATAGAGCCCTCCTCTGTATACTAACTTCTTTGGCCTGATTGTAAAACCCCCTCCTATCACTGGTCCCTATTTGGAAAAATCTCTGAATCCTGGATTTTACTCCCTCTGTGTCTACATCTTTTGAGAACGCAGATCCTCACTAACCAGGCCCACAAGTGTAACATTCTACACTGAGCCAAAAAGTAAAACTCAGTTTCCCCCAGAAAGTTTAGTATCTAAAGCTCCAAAAATACTTTTCAGAAGGCCATACAAAGTCATGAGAAATAATAACAGAGGAAGGAAGAAAGGAAGGAAGGGAGGGAAGAAGGGAGGAAGGAAGGGAGGAAGGAAGGAAGGAAGGAAGGAAGGAAGGAAGGAAGGAAGGAAGGAAGGAAGGAAGGAAGGAAGGAAGTTAATTCAGTAGGGTAAACCCAGTAAGAATTCCTTATAGCATTCAAGAGAGGACTAATATCCACCATATTGCCAGACCATGAAACAACAGGCAGTTAGTTAGCCACTGTAGTTCTATTTCAAGGGACAGTTAACCCATGGCATATCTAAATCTGTATAGTTAGGGGACAAGTCATAAAGTCATTCAATTGAATTTTCTCATTAACATTACCACTTAATAAGGAAAAAAGTCAAGAGTTATCACTGCTTAGAAAATTCAGTGAAGCATATGGAAATATGTTGGTAAATATCCTTACCATAAGTTAGATGTCAGTTTTCTTACTGTTTCCTTGACAGATGTGTTTTGATAAGATTTTGCCAGCAAAGAAGCATCTTCACAGCCACTTAGAGAAACTCTGGCTTTGCGTCCAGAACTTGGATTTAAATCTTCCAATGGTACACTTCATTTCAAAGTAAGGATCACATTAGATACTAATAAACTCAGAAATGTCAACATAGGCCAAATGAAATAATACACACCAAATGAAAGCAGGGACATAAGTGTTAAGCTGAAAATGGTCATTTATGTAGTTACATAAAATCAATTCTCAAGTAGAAAAAAATACTATTTTTTTCTGACAAATCTTGTTCCAAGGTTTTTGGGTGATCACAATTAAATGAAATCGGTGGCGATTTTATTCTTGACAACAGTAGTCATATATACCATTTGTCTCTTATTTGCTAAAAGAGGCTTTAAATAAAGTTCTATTTTAGCTGGGGTGGGGGAGAGGGTTCGTACAGAAATAAAACCAAAAAGGAACAAAGTCAATCAAAAGAAAAGTGTAGTCAAATCTGAAGGAAGAACAGAATTCTGGGTGAACTGGAATGTACAAAAATAAACTGATGAACAAAATAAAACCAAAGGCAATGGATACCTGGAACAGATGGACAGATCTTGGAGGGGAGAGGAATGGGGGCACTGGAAGAGTGTTGCCAAATAACATACAAGCATAGCCCGTTGTGGGCTGGGTGGATGGGAGCCGGGGGGATGGGGGCATCTGTAGTAGTGTCAACAACAAAAAATAAATAGATAACAATGAGATACTTTAAAATAATAATAAGTGACCTAAAAGAAGATGATATGATATGTGTGCCTTGTCAGAAGTAGTGGGTTATTTATTTTTTTAGCACAGTGGGTGGAAACTATTTAATGTAGATGCTAAGAAAATTATTATGCCTCATTAATAGGACCTTGGAGGTTCATAATTCAGATTTAATCTTTTTAAAACCTATTTTTATTGTATTTTTCCAATACCATTCATTTCTCTTATATGCTATACAACATTGACCAAGACCCCTCCTCCCCACTGCAATCACCACACTGTTGTCCATGTCCATGAGCTCTTTTTCTTTTTAGCGCAATCCAGCCCTACCCACCCTTCCTCCAGAGCAGCCAGTGTGCTCTCTGAGTCTCTGTATTTTGCTTGTTAACTCAATTTGTTCATTAGACTCCACATATCAGTGAAATCATATGGTATTTGCCTTTTGAAAGATTGCCTAATATCACTTAAAAAATGTTCTCCAGGTCCATCCATGCTGTTGCAATAGGTAAAAGTTTGCTTTTTTTGTGGCCCAGTATAATTCCATTGTGTAAAGGTACAATTATTGGTTTATCTACTCATCTACTGATGGACAATTGGGCTGATTCCAAATCTTGGTTATTGTAAACAAGGTGGCAATGAACACAGGGGTGCTTATATTCTTTTGAATTAGTGTTTTGGGTTCTTTTGGATATATTCCCAGAAGTGGGATTGCTGGGTCAAAAGGCAGATCCATTTTTCATTTTTTTAGGTATCTCCATACTGCTTTCCATAGTGGCTGCACCAATCTGCATTCCTACCAACAGTGCAAAAGGGTTCCCCTTTCTCCACATCCTCGCCAGCATTTGTTGTTTGTTGATCTATTGATGATTGCCATTCTGACCAGTGTGATGTGATGTCTCATTATGGTTTTAGTTTACCTTTTTCTGAAGATTAGTGATGTAGAGCATATTTTCATATGTCTACTGGGTTCTTTGCAGAAGAGTCTATTCAGGTCCTTTGCCCATTTTTTTAATAGGAATGTTTTGGTGTGTTCTTTTTGGTGCTGAGTTGTATAATAAGTTCTTTATAAATTTTGGTTATTAACCCTTTATCATGTGTATTGGTGAACATGTAATCCATTCAAAGGGTTGCTTTTTATCTTTGTTCATGGTTTTTGCTGTGCAAAAACTTTTTAGTTTGAGGTAGTCTCAATTATTTTTTCTTTTGTTTCCATTGCCTGAAGAGCTATATCAGAAAAATAGTGCTATGAGCATTGTCCAAGATTTTACCACCTAGGTTTTCTTCTAGGATTTTTATAGTTTCAGGTTTAACATTTAAGTCTTTAATCCATTTTGAATTTATTCTTATTTGTGGTGTAAGAATGTGGCCTAGTTTCATTTTTCTGCACATGTATAACCAATTTTCCCAACACCACTTATTGAATAAACTATTTTTAGCCTACTGTATGTGCTTGCTTCCTCTGTCAAGTATTAATTAACGATAAAGGTGTGGGTTTATTTCTGGGCTGGTCTTAGTGTTTTTATGGTACTACCGGGTGCTTTGATTACTATGGCCTTATAGTATAGTTTGATATTGGGTAATGTGATCCCTCCAACTTCATTCTTCTATCTTGGGATTACTGTTGCTATGCAGGGCCTTTTGTGGTTCCATATAAACTTCTGAAATATTTGTACTAGTACTGTGAAACACATCATTGGTTATCTTGATAGGAATTGTGTTGAATCTATAAATTGCTGTGCATAGTACAGACACTTTAATGATGTTAATTCTTCCTATCCATGAACATAGTATGTGCTTCAACTTATCTGTATCTTCTTTAATTTCTTTCTTCAGTGTTTATAATTTTCTGAGTACAGGTGTGGTTAGATTTATTCCTAGATATTTTAATTTTTTAAAGCAACTATGAATTGGATTTTTTTTTCATTTCCCTTCCTGGTAGTTCATTATTTGTATATAAAAATGCAACTGATTTCTGGATATTTACTTTGAATACTGCTACTTCACTGTTCTAGTAGTTTCTTATTGTATCTGTAGGGTTCTGTAAGTACAATATCATGTCATCTGCAAATAAACACAGTTTTACTTCTTCATTTCCAATTTGGATTCCTTTTATTTCTTCTTGTCTGATTGCTGTGGCTAGGACCTCCAGTATTATACTAAATAAGAGAGGTGAAAGTGGACATTCCTGTCTTGCTCCCAATCTTAAGGGAAATGCTTATTATTCTTGCCCATTGAGAATGATGCTGGCAGTTGGTTTGTCATATATAGCTTTTATTATGTTTAGGTATGGTCCCTCTATTCCCACTTTGCTGAGAGTTTTTATCATAAATAGGTGCTGAACTTTATCAAATGCTTTTTCTACATCTATTGATATGATTGTGTGGATTTGTCCTTCATTTTGTTTATGTGGTGAATCACATTTATTGATTTGCAAATGTTGTACCAACCTTGTGTCCCTGGAATAAATCCCATTTGATCACAGGGTTTGGTCTTTTTGATGCATTGTTGTTCAGTTTGCTAATATTTTGTTCAGGATTTTAGCATCTATGTTCATCAGACATTGGCCTATAGTTTTCTTTCTTTATAGTGTCTTTATCTGATTTTAGAATTAGGATAATGTTGGCCTTGGTAAATGAGCTTGGGCATCTTCTACCCTCTTGAATTTTCTGCAATAGTTTGAGAAGGAGAGGTGTTAGTTCTTCTTAAATATTTGCAAAATTCACTCGTGAGTCACCCAGTCCAGGGCTTTTGTTTGTTGGGAGTTTTTTTACTGCATTGTCACTAAGTGTAATCTGTCTGCTCAGATTCTCTGATTTTTTCTGATTTAGTTTTGCAAGATTTTGTGTTTCTAGAAATTTATCCATTTCTTCCTGGTAGTCTAATTTGTTGGAATTAAGTTAGTTATAATATTTTTTAATAATCATTTGTATTTCTTTGGTGCCTGCTGTTATTTCACTTCTTTCATTTCTGATTTTAATTAGCAGGGTCTTCTATTTATCTTGTTCAGTTTGGTTAAAGGTTTGTCAATCTTATTTACATTTTCAAAGAACTAGCTCTTGGATTCACTTATCTTTTGTAACATTTTTAGACTCTATTTCTTTTTTTCTGGTCTTATCTTTATTATTTTTTCCTTCTACTCACATTTGGCTTTGTTGTTCTTTTTCAAGTTCCTTTAAGTGTAAAATTAGATTGTGCTTTTTTGTTTCTTGATATAGTCCCGTAAAACTATCAATTTCCCTCTTTGGATTGCATACTCAGTGTTCCACAAATTGGATTCTTATGTCTTCATTTGTTTTGAGGTACCTTTTGATTTCTTCCTTGATCTCTCATTGCTAACCCATTTATTGTTTAATAACATGTTACTTACCTTCCATATCTTTATTTTCCAGTGTTCTTCTTGTGATAGACTTCTAGTTAATAGTGTTGCAGTCAGAGAAGATGCTTCATATGATTTCAATCTTCTTAAATGTACTGAGACTTGTTTTGTGTCCTCACATGAGGTCTATCCTAGAAAATGTTCCATATACACTAGAAAAGAATGTATATTCTGCTGCTTTGGGGTAAAATGCTCTAAATACAATTAAATCCATTTGATCTGGTGTATCATTTAAAGCTGCTGTCTGCTTCATGATTTTCTGGCAGGAAGATCTATCCATTGAAGTCAATGGGGTGTTAAAATCCTCAACTAGGACTGCATTTCTGTCGATCTCTCCCTTTATGTCCATCAAGATTTGCTTAACATGTTTAGGTGCTTCTACGTTAGGTGCCTTTTGTATACATGTTTACAAGGGTTATATCCTCTTGTTGAATTGTTACATTTATCATTATGTAGTGTCCTTCTTTCTCTCTTATGATAGCCTTGGTTTTAAAGTCTATTTTGTGGGACACAATTGCTGCTACCCCAGCTTTTTTTCCTTTCTCAGTCTTTTGATCTGAGATGGGTTTCTTGGAGGTAGCTTATATATGCATCTTGTATTATTATCCATTCAGGTACCCTACATCTTTTGGTCAGAGCATTTAAGCCATTTATATTTAAGGTGATTATTGATAAGATATGTATGTAATGGGATTCTATTGTCAGACCATTTTCCTATTTTCTTCTTTCTGTTTTTCTTCTTAAAACAAGCCCTTTAACATTTGTTGCAGTACTGATTTGGTGGTAACAGAATTGTTTAGCTTTGTCTTGTCTGGAAATCTCCTTATTTCTCCTTCAATTTTAAATGATAGCCTTGCTTGGTAAAGCAGCCTTGGTTGTAGGTTATTGCTTTTTGTCACCTTGAATATTTCATGCCACCCCATTCTGGCCTAAAACATTTCTGTTGAACAATGAAATGCCAGTCTAATTGGTGTTCCCTTAT